ACAGGGAGAGAGAGAGAAGGGAGAGAGGAGAAGCAGCAAGACACAGAGAAAGGAGAGGGGAAAGGCAGAGAGAGGAGAGAGGAGGAAAGGAGGAGAGAAAAGCAGCCGTAACGCCCTGCAGCTCCCAGCTGGCAGCCCACTGGAGCTCAGCAGTGTGAGCCTGGTCAGGACCTGGACAGGAGACCTCCTGGGAAAACTAAGGATGCTGCTGGAAGAGGTGTTAGTGAGGAAGCATCCAATAGGTCATTACTCTTAAGTTTTTCTTTGCTTTTCCTTCAGCACCTGTATTTTATTTGACTGGTGCAGCACTGTTTTTAATGTAATAGTTAACAGTTCTAGTAAGTAGCTCTCGAGTGGGAGTGTGGGGGCACATCTGGATACAAGTGGCCAGGCCTGCACATCTGGATATCCACGCACCTCTTTACCAGAAGAGCACCGAGAGCCTCTTGCTCAAGCTGCACTTTTAACACGTTTGCAGCAGTGTTCAGTAAATCAGTAAAAGGAAGAGCTGACAATATTCCACACCCCCCACCCAGACACTAACAAGGACTACCGGAGACTGACACGCCGCGATCAATGGGCTGTAATTACTGAAGAGAGCTCAGCAGACATCAATACTGTTTACTCAGAGCTGCTGAAGAGGGATTTATGATCCTGCACATCCATGAGGCTGCTCGTTAGCTTAATTAGGTTAACGACGAGGTTCACCTGACTTCTGGCATGCTGCTCCAAGAAAATGCAATAAACCCTTAGTTGCAGTCTAATGATTAGTGATGATCTTGTATATACAGAGTGGAGGGTACAGACCCAGTGGTCCAGTCTGGGCCGGGTCACACTGTAACCCTACAGTCCAGAGATCACAGGTCCAGTCTGGGTCACACTGTAACCCTATACCCATCGCTGGTCTGGTCTGGTCAAAGAGAAGAACACTGAGCAAAAATCCAAAAATGAAATCAATGCCAGGCATTCATCAATATATCAATTTATTTAAAAGAATATGTTACAATTTATTACACTAAGGAACTTTACCAAACATTTAAATTTTTACATTTTTTTAAAGTGGTTAGCTAGAGCTTGCTCAAATTTTCTTCAATTTGTTTCTTTTAATATCTTATTTCTCAGTGTTAAGAGGATGAGGTGCTGTTAGCATTTTAAACTCTAACATCAGCTGGTCTCACCACACATTCGGTCTCCGTGGAAAATCACACAAATCGCAGTGGAAAAACAACTACAATTAAAAGAGCTTCTGATTTTAGAAATAAATTACAGCTGTGCAAGAGGGAGAGGCTGGGCACAGGTCTGGGAGAATCAGGAACAAGAGGCCCAGAATTCAGCAACAGGAATCCATTTTGTGTTGCACAGCAGTCTGATCCACTCCAGGTGTTACACTGGTGTCAGTCAGACTCCCAGTGCACAGCAGTCTGATCCACTCCAGGTGTTACA